AAAAAAAAAAAAAAAAAAAAAATTAGCTTGAAATCTCTAATTAACGATGCGATCATTGATGTTGTAGTGTAGACGATCCCAATCGCGTTTTTCAGACACTTGAGCTTGGCTTAAAAGATAGATGTAGTTTGGTTGTTATGGCTTGGTTGCTGCTCTTTGTAGTCTGCTCTGGTGCTGCTAGTTTAAGACCGAGTTAACTGGAGCGACATGATAACATTATCCTGACATTTATCTTCGTAGTCTTTAGTGTATATACTGTGTTCATGCGTCTGAATGCTACTTGTTTGTGAAGTTGTGCATTGCCTGCAGGTTTTTCGACGAGGTGGTTATTTGGACTGACAATGGTGGGAAACGTGGAGAGTCAGTCGAGTTACACATAACTTACCAGTTACATGTCTTATTCAATTTTTGTTTACTGCTGTCCATCTCAGTATTGGTCTTCCATATTTACTTATTTGCTTAATTAAAATGGATTTTATTTTTTTGCCTCATTCCTTCAGGCTTCTTTCTTTTGCGACAGTTGTATTCCAGAAAACCTTTGAACGGAACCATTTTTGTAACTTAACACTTTTCTGCTTTTTTTCAAATAAGAGAACAATGAAGTGAAGAGAATGAATCATCAGTGAATAATACTCTGTCATGGTTATGCTAAAGGACAAATTTGCTTTGCTCCCCTGTTATTGCATTGCATCCACGCTGGTACGTCAAACTACAAGACTGGTCTTACCTTGTTAATCTTGTCTTTTAATTCTTTAAAAGCAAGCTTTGAAACTGTGGTATATTTTTGAGCATTCAAATGGTGTTGGGAATTCTTCCATGAGTACTTTAATATTTGTTAGATTAGTTCAGTAACATTAAATTTCTCGATGGACAGCTGGCAGCCCGCTTTAAGAAACTTTTGATCTCACTCGATTTCTTTGTGCACATTGACGGGCGATACAGTCTGACTGCAAGAATATTGATAAGCGATAGGTGAACCGTTTTTGAAAGGGCATTTTTTTGATAACATATTTAGAGAACAGTTGTTTGCGGCCAGGAAATAGCCCATTATTGATGCTTTTTTTGTGGGGTTGCTGGAATAGTTAGAGAGTTTGTTTCAAAAATGTTTTGTGATTTCCATATTTTTAAATTTCATAGCTATTCGATTGGCTCTCCTCTATAGTTCAAATATCGCTCATTGTAGCAGTTAAATAATCGCCTGGCGTTATGTGGTTCAATTTGAACAAGTTCTGTGTTTCAGGTGAACAAGTTTAATTACACTGCAAACTTTTGAATCCAATTTAATTTCAGAAATTTTCTTATTTAACTGCGTGATTATGACAAACTTGGTGAGTTATCCACTCTTCCTTATCGTCAAATGCTTTACGTTTTTTTCAAGTTTATTTTAATTTTAAATACCCTTCTTGCTGTTATCGTAGTGATCTTTCCAGTTAGACCAGTTTGAAGAATTTGACAAACTCATTGATCCAGAGCCAGAAACTGCGTATAATAAATGGAAAGAAGTACGTTCTCGAATAAAATTTTTTTTGTAATTGAGAAATTGATTATTGTTCTAATTTATGGACTGCCCTAGAGCAACGGGTGACGAGATGTAATAAAAGTAAAATTTTGAAATTTTTTCGCTTTAAACTGCAATTGTGTTGAGCAGTTTGAAAGAAGTTCAAATGCTGCTTTGAAAAGATAATATCTGGAAATATTTTTATTTTTACAGCGGCAAACTGTGCAAGGTATAAATCATGGTTTTTTAGCTCATAAAACCAAAATGTGCGAAACATATTTTTAAGCGTAATTTAGTTGGCAAAAAATGAACCACAGCTTCTGGAGGATGTGGAATTCCTGTGGAGGTTTGCGAAGGCTTGTATGCATTGGGGAAATTCGATGGAAAAGAAAGATCCTAGACGAAAACAGCTAATATATGAAGGTAGCTTTCAATTTGTTGAAAAGCTTATTTCTCCTAAAACAAAACAAAACCTAACAAAAGTGTGGGGTTTTTTAGAATGAGTGGTCAAAAACTAATTTCTTTTACAAATTTGAGAGAGCACGTTCCTTTCTTCTAAGTCATTTAGTTCAGTTAAAATGCCGATCGGTCCTCGGTTAGTCAAACTTTTTTGATTTCGAGACCGTGCAGCACTTTAAGAAGTCCAGAATGCTGCTAAATTCGTGCAAGGCCTGATATTTAATGTTTCGAAACAAACAAAATAGACCATTTTTCAGTCTAAATATGAGAATCAATGCCGCATTAGAAAGTCGGACTGTTTGATTAAACTTTTTCTTTCTGGAGCATATTATTTCTAATCTGTCTCAGTAATTTTTAACTTTTTGTATCCTTCAAAAATTATAACTGCCTGAAATTGTGATGCTCTATGTTTTCTGCAGAAGTGCAAGCTTCGCATATTTTCAGTTTAACGGCCTTCTTAAACAGGGTGTAAGACAAACAGCAGAATGTTTTCGTGAAATAATTATGGAGGACCAAAATAAAACCTGTTTATTTTTTTTCATTAGGTAGCGATTGCAGGATTGGACTATGCACTAAAAGGTTATGGAAAAGACGAAAATAATTTTGAGGCTTTGCGATGGACAGCTGTACTTTGCGGAGCAACAACAGACTATCTTGGCATTAAGGAGCGGATAGAAACAGCCAAAAAATTCAAAGTAAGATTTGCTTTACAGAGTGCTATAGGGCTTTTCGACATACACTTTAGTCCAATTAAAAAAGCAAACATATCTTCAAGGAATTATTAGCTTTCCATAAAAATGGGGCGTTTTTGAAATTGTACATCTTGCGCTTACGATAATGTCACTCTTAGTAAAGTAGATAGAGGTGGAAAGAAAAATTAGGTTTTTTCTTTTGTAAGGCTTAGGCTTGTGGTTATTTAGTCATCATAATATTCCTTTCGAGTTTACTTCTGAAAACTTTTCCCATTAAGGATGGCATGTAAACTTGCATTCTGTCCAGGATTGGTAAAGTTGTGCTCACTAAAAGGATTGCTTAAACGCTTTAAATCATTCTTAATTTTCTTTTCTTAAGGGCTATCTGGATATAGCACTAGGAAGGCAGCCTACAGAACATGTATTACTGCACCTTCGCGGCAGATTCAGCTACGAAATGGCAAGTCTTTCCTGGGTCGAGAAAAAAGTTTGCAGCACAATATTTTCTAAGGTGCCGGAGCGCACTTTCGATCAAGCGCTGGATGACTTCTTGGAAGTAAAAATTTATACTTTTAAGTTAAAGTGATTCTTTTAGCTGTGCAAGATAACGAGCGTACAAATCCGTGCCAATGGTTTTTAAAGAAGCAATTAAA